GCGGTGGGGGGTGTAGCTGGCTGAAGGTTTAGGGACTGAAATGTATGCAAATTTACATAAGAGAAAGCCTGGCTTAGACACCTGTTTCCCTTCCTCGTTCTAGGCTGCTAAGCCCTATTTTCTAGCACCATCTGGTGGCCACATCCATAATAACAAACTCTGTGAGCTGAAAGAGCTTGTATAAAGCAGAAGTTCCATGGATTGGTCTCAGAGGGTTATGATACCCTCAACCCCCAGATATAGCATGCAAATTTGTATGTACACAAAATTTGCCTTATTCTGGTGAGAAGGGCTTTTTATTAGATTCTTAGAGGTTTATAGTTCCCAAAAGAGTGAAAATCACTACTATAAAGGAATAGTGATTGTTTACTTCCTGCCTTGCCCCCCATGAAATCCTATGAAGAATCATAAGGTAAGAGAGAGAAAAGCAAACTTGGATCCCTACTTGCTTAGAACTTCGCCCTCCAATTTTCCAAGGCACCTACATGGAACACAGTCCAGTTTAAAAACCACACTTATAAAGCCAAAGGCTTATGAAGCTTCAGAGCCAGATGGACCCTTAAGAGCTGCTGAGACCCACTAGGTCACACCTTGGGGAGGGGGCTTGGTGCAGCTCACAGAGCATATTAGAGGCAATACTGGAGCCTAACACAAATCCCTCCCACTCCCACATCTTTAAACTGCTCAATTTTGCCTTATTTCTCACAGACCTAAATTTTAAAAATAATAAAACTTTTCTATCTGGAATATAGTTCCCAAACAGGAATATAGTTCCCAAACCATTTTTTCTATAAATATTTAGACTTCTGGAAAGAGACAGTTCTCCCTCTAAATGCCTCTCAACAAACTGTAATACACAGTATAAAATAAATCTATAGCTTAATGTTTGAATAGTTCTTTATAACTTATAACATCAACACCCATTTAGCTGACTTATTTTACTGTGGGAAAGCTGAGACTCAGAAAAAATGACTTAAGGGTTCTTTCTCCTGTCAGCCTTCGTATTCAAATGTATATATTCTGACTTAAAATAATGAACAAGTGGACAGTATAACTGGTTTGTTGATATCCGTTGGGAGCGGGGTAGGTAAGACCAGCCCCTGCTAATCAGTGATCTGGGGGGAGGGGGAGGGATGAAGGCTAACACTGATTGAACATCTCTGTACTAGATAGACTGGAGTCTAACTTCTGAATAACCTTCAAAGTATGTTTTTAATCACCATTTTTGCAGATGCATAAACTGAAGTTCAGAAAGAGAAAGTGCCTTGCCCAAGGTCACACAGCTAATAAATTGAGATAAGCAGGCCTGCCTGCCTCCTCCTCTATACCAACAAGCTGCGCAGGGCTTTAAACATGTCAGCTAGCCTCCCTGGGTGGGCAGTCCTGGCTTCCTCTAACCCCGCTGCCCCTTCCCTTCTTTCTCTCTCTTAGGAGTGCCAGCTTCTCTCAGGGCACCAGGGCCTCGTTCCTCATGAGGAGCGACACAGCCGTACAGAAACTTGCCCAGGGTAATGGACACTGTGTCAATGGGGTCGGTGGTCAAGTCCATGGCTTCTATAGCCTCCCCAAGCCAAGCCGGCACAATACAGAATTCAGAGACAGTACCTACGACCTCCCTCGGAGCCTGGCCTCCCATGGCCATACCAAGGGCAGCCTCACAGGCTCGGAGACAGATAATGAGGATGTGTACACCTTCAAGACACCCAGCAACACCCTGTGCCGGGAGTTTGGGGACCTCCTGGTGGATAATATGGATGTTCCGGCCACTCCACTCTCAGCCTACCAGATCCCTAGGACATTCACGCTGGACAAGAACCACAATGCCATGGCAGTGGCCACTCCTGGGGACTCAGCCATAGCTCCTCCACCTCGGCCCCCCAAGCCAAGCCAGGCAGAAACACCTCGATGGGGCAGCCCTCAACAGAGACCTCCAATGAGTGAAAACAGCAGATCAGTTTCTGCCGCTGCCACCATTCCCAGGCGCAATACCCTCCCTGCGATGGACAACAGCCGACTTCACCGAGGTGAGTGTAAGCCCAGCTGAGACCCAGGAGGAGAGGCAGGTAGCACAGGGGTTCTCAGTAGTTTGCTAGTCCTCGGTCATCCATGCTAAGAAGACTTAGAGACCACCCAGGTCACTGATATGGTTAAGGCATCTTCTACTCAGATCCCTTACCAGTTGGTCCTCCAGCACTGGAGGCTCTTGGTAGACTCCCACAACGGCAGCAGTAAAGCAGACCCTAATTCAAAGAGCTGATATTCTCCTGAGGGAGATGGAATCTTCTCGGTTAACCACAATGCAACATCTTATGGGCTTGGAAGTCCAAACTATAGTATTTTATTCATTTATAAATGAAACCAGAGATTGCGAAAATAAATTTAGAGGACCAGTCCAATCTGCAGCCAAACCTATGTGGACTAGCAGACTATCAAAACAAAATGAGATCTTCAAAATAGTTTTCTAAGCCACACGTAAACCTTGGTTTAAAGTCCAAACTTCTATCTGAAGTATCTAAATTCTGTTGCCAGTGTTTTCCACGTAGAGTATTCCAACTCTGCATATAATCTCGTTTGATGAAAATGTATAATAATATTATTCTTTTCATTTTGCATTTGCTTCGTACCTTGCGAAGCCTGTAATTTTATCCCTTCTGTTATTCAAGCCATGTAGTGACCCTGAGAGTTTGGTGGGACAAAGCCTCATTGTCTCCATTTCACATGAGGCCCATTGTAGTGAAAAGGCTTTTTCAGGGTTGCAAAGTCAGTCAGTGGCAGAGATGGGACTTGGACACAGGGTCCTGACTCCTGGTTCAGTACTCTTTGTAGTCTTTCAATCCATCAGCTATTTGATCAACTACCCTGTACTTTGGAACTGAAATGATAGAGACACACAAAAAAACATATCCCTACCTTTCAGAGAGCTCACATCTAGTTGGAGAAATAAAATCGACATGTAAAAATTAGTCAAGTAACAGTATTACTATAGTATTGAATAAGTGATGGCTGGAGTGAGTGGGACAGGTGGTAAGTGCTATGAGAATTAAAGGAAAGGTGCATAAATGAGGGCAGAAGTGGTCAAGAAAGGATTCCATGTAGATGCTGACACTGGAGCTAGATCTAAAAGCCTGGGAGGAATTTTTGAACTGGGGAGTGATATGATGGAAGTTATACTTATCATTGGGAATTGAGAGTAGTATTTTCTGGAGTTTCAGTGAGCCCCTGAGCAACACTGGTGAGTGTCTGGGTGAGTGGCAGCACACAGGTCAACTGTGAGTGCATCCAGATCTTCCTTCCTATGTCTAGCTTCTTCCTGTGAGTCCTACGAGTACCCCCAGCGTGGTGGAGAAAGTGCAGGCCGGTCTGCAGAGTCCATGAGTGATGGAGTCACTTCTTTCCTGGTGAGTGGGCTTTACCAGGGGTCCTCAGGCCGCCTAGGTGGGTTAAAGGTCACACCCATGGAACTAAAAACACAACCCAAAGGATGACAGCATCTCCCTCTTAAAACCCTGCCAAGCTTCTTGTCTCAGTTCAGAACCCTGGGTTGAGTTTTTAGAAAGTAAGAAACAGGTATCCTGGTTTGGAAGAAATGTCTGTACTTAGATATACTAGACCAGGGGTCCCCAACCCCCTGGCTGTGGACTGGTACCAGTCCATGGCCTGTTAGGAACCTGGCCGCATAGCAGAAAGTAAGCAGCGGGCAAGCAAGTGAAGTTTTGTCCGTATTTGCAGCCGCTCCTCAGCGCTAGCGTCACCGCCTCAGCTCCACCTCAGATTATCAGACAGTAGATCCTCATAGGAGCATGGTCTCCAGTGCCAAAAAGGTTGCGGACCGCCGTACTAGACTACAAGGCTCACCAACCCTGTGGGTAAGCAGGAGAGATCTAAAATACAGAGGACGCAGGCTCTGGGATGAGGGATCTAGGGCAGCATCATACCTATGAGGTCTCATCTGGAGGAGGGAGCTGTGGTGCGAGACTATAGACAGGGATGGTGCTCAGAGTCAGGCTCAGTGGCAGAATTACGGTTTGAGCACAGGATCTCCGGCTGTCCTCTGGACAGGGCTGACCATAGTTCTGCAAGGTTTCAGGCCCCAGCTAGCAGACTAGACCCATGGAAAAGACTGAAAATTAGGTAACCAAAGCAAAAACAGCTTAGTTGTATGTCTGGACAGACAGGGCAAGAGTTAAAGGAAGGCTATAGCCAAGGTTGCTACATTGCACACCCTGGCAACTCCGACTGCAGCTTGGTGGTCATATTGAAAGCTGGACTGAGGAAACACAACTGGTCCAGCCTTCACCTGCCAGGGCCAAGGCTGCTAATGTGCTCTTTGCCCAGCTCAAGGCCTGAGATGCTGACCTCCCAATGGTGGTCTGGACTTGAGGTGGAAGGCGGGTCCTGAACCAAACCTATGCAGCCCATGGCCTGTGCTACCCTCTGCCTTAGGCATCCAGAAAGCTTTGTGGATCCAGCCACCAAGAGTATTTCATACAAAAGATTTATCAGAAATTCTAAGTGAGTCCCAAGAGATCATGGACGCTAGAAGAGACCCACAGGTTGCATTTCTTCCTGTCTCCCTTGGTTGTCCAAGGATCTGCCTTAGAGCTTCCCAGTACAGGTCACTCAGTCATGACTTTTCTTCCCTTGTATCTAAATTCTCACCTACATTTTGTTTCTTCTTGCTAGTGACAGCTGTATTTCTTTCACTGTTCCTCCTAGCCAGGAAAAATGCTTGTAGGCCGATCGGATAGCGCCAGTTCCGAAGACAACTATGTGCCCATGAATCCAGGTTCCTCCACCCTGCTGGCCATGGACCGAGCAGGCGATAATTCCCATAGTGTCTACATCCCCATGAGCCCAGGGCCCCATCACTTTGACCCGCTTGGCTACTCCTCTACAGCCCTTCCTATGCACCGAGGCCCCAGCCGAGGGACTGAGATCCAGCCACCCCCTGTCAACCGCAACCTCAAACCTGACCGGAAAGGTGAGTCACCTCTTTCTCTGTCTCATCTATGGGCAATGGCCAGGGACTATGTGCATTCATTTAGTGATCAAGTGGATCCTGAACTTCACTTGCAAGGAAAGGGTAGCCTCTGGACCTAAGCCACCCCAAAGTCACACTCACACTCACACAAACCTCCAGATTCATCCCAGTGGTCTGGCACTCTAAGGATTGGCTGTTGGAGTAGCCTGATGGACAAAAGAATATAGAAATTAGGACAGATTCAGGTTTCAACTCTGTCACCTGCTAACATGTGATTGTAGACAAATCATTTTGTGTCTGTGAGCCTTGTTTCTTCATTTGTGAAATGGAAACTATAATATTTACCTCCCAGAAGCATTGAAGGACATAGATAATATATCTAAAAATGCTTCATAATATATAAAATCTATTCAAGGATAAAGGGTTAGTATTAGATCTGGAGCTGGGCAGGGCCGAACTAATGAAGTAGTCTATTAAAAGATACATTATGATGCAGTAGAAAGGCTTGAGCATTCAAACCAGGTAGATGTAGGTTGGAATCCTTATCCAGCACTTCCTAGGTGTGTCTTTGGGCAAATCATTTAATTTCTCAGAACCTCAGTTTTCTTATCTGTGAAATGGGGATAGTAATTCCTGCCTCCCAGGTTTATTTATAAGGAAAGCATGAAGGACATTAATTTGGTCCATAGCAGATGTTCAGTAAAGTTAGATCTGCGCTCCCTGCATCTAGACCAGGAAGAAGTACTGGAGTTCAAGTTCAAGGCTTGCCTCTACCTCACGCTGCTGACCTTAGATCAGTAGCAGGGATTCAAAGGGAGAAGTAGAATAACCTTTGGCAGAAATAAGCCCTGTTGGTTTGGCCAGCAGGGAATTCGGACCTTAGCATTTGAATCGAAGCCTTCAGGGTCTTGTGGCGTTCACCTTCCTCCACTCTAGGTTCCACAGCCCTGGTCCAGGAACATCAGGGAGCAGTCATGGTGGCCTTCTCTAATTCAGATACCATCTCTCATTTTTGTATAGAGTCACAAATCTGGGAAGAACAATCTGTTGTCAAACCCTGTGTCCCCATTTTAGATTCTGAAAATATGATTACCATAGATGCAATGCAAAGAATTTGTAATTTGGAATCTGAAGACATGACTTCAAGGCCTGTCAACATGGGCAAAGATTATATACCCTTGCTGAGCCTAGTTTCCCTATGTAAAACTGGGATGAATTCGAAGGCGTTTGTAAATATACCTGTGTGTTATGTGTAAGAATGTATGTGTGGCATTATTGTTATTGGCTGATTACTCAACTTTCTGCGCCTGCTGTAGCAAAGCCAACACCACTTGACCTGAGAAACAACGCTGTCATCGATGAGCTCCCCTTCAAGTCACCTGTCACCAAGTCTTGGTCTAGGGCCATGTGAGTGTCTTTTTGGAAATGGGAGATTGGAACAGGGCCATTAGGGTTGGTGAGGGGACAAGTAGCCAAGCTGTAAATCGGGAAAACTACTTCCTGATGATAATAATGTCAGTAGCTGACCAGTCTCTAGATCTCATCTGTGAGAGGGAATAACTGTACCCGCCCTTTATCACACCTTCATCTGATAATGGAGTGTGAAGCTTTGAGGGCAGAGGTCTGGAGTGTGAGGGTCGGAGGCCCAGCTGGAGGCTGGAAACTTCCACAGGGTTAACTCTTTGTCTTTCCCCGACAACAGCCACACCTTCAACTCCAGCTCCTCCCAGTACTGCCGCCCCATCTCCACACAGAGCATCACCAGCACAGACTCAGGAGACAGCGAAGAGAACTACGTCCCTATGGTGAGTCCCCTGGGGTCCCATCTGAAATGACTCTCATCTGAGTTCCCTGGAACCTACCTCTCAGGTCCCTACTTCCTGGCTCAGCTAACTCACCTTGGCCTAGGGGCTCCCATTTTATTTGCGATTTCATTTGCTACTGCAAATTTTTCTTGAGCCACATATGTGACAAGCCCCGTGAGGTTGTCATCAGAGAGAATGAAGACATTGCCTCAGGGAGGCTGCAGTCTTAAGAGGCAAAGAAGGCCTGCCTTTCTCGTGCCTGTGATACTATGGAGTGGTCAGTGCCACTGGAGAGGGCACTGGGGGAGTACACATGCAGGTCAGGCGATCATACTGGCTGGGGAAAGAGAAGGCATTGAGGTGGAGGTAGCCATTTGGAGGGGGAACATGGAACAGTCGTGAAGTATGGCCTAAGGCTGCAGGGCAGGAGGGTTGCACTGGAGCAAGATCATAAAGAACCTCAAATGCTTTCTTGGGAAGTATGGATTTTCCTGTGGGCAGGAGGGAGCACCAGAAGGTTTAGCAGACCAGGTGATTAGACAGGTGTTCCAGAATAGTCATCGGTGACAAGAGCATCCTTCAAAATTGACTTCCTTCTTCTGCCCTGTGAAAATCTATTAAGAGATCCTCCCTTCATTTCCTTATCCTGTTGTACCCATGACCATGGGCATGTATGTAAGTGTAAACATTTATTAAGTATCTCCTGATCGGTGGGAAACACACATGTTCATGACTCACTGTGGTAAAGGCCACAGCAGAGATATAAACACAGGCAGCGCATGGCAAGTGTCCTTCCTGAGATTGTCACTTGGGCAGAGAATAGCTGCCCAGCGCCTGATAGTTGCTGCATATTGAAAGAACAAACCAACCAACCAATAAAGTAGCCAAAAAACAGGAAGTAGGACTATTGCCTTTCTTATTAGAAGAGACTTCAGGAAAATCCTGGACAAGTTAACGTTGGTGCCTAGATGGAGACGGGATTCTAGAGCATATCATTTGAAGAGCTGCTCAAAGAACCAGGGCTTCATGGCGCCTGGGGATGGGGCCACTGTTCAGATCTCGGAGGAGCTGGGCTGGAGGGAGCACGCTGCTTCTGTGTGACTACCCAGCTCTAGGCAATGGGCGGGAGTTGCAGAAAAGCAGATTCAGTGCAACAGAAGACTGTACAACCATACTTCACTTCTCTGAACCAGCATTTTATCTTGGTTTTAAAAAATAAGAATAGTGATAATACCTACATCACAGGACTGTTGTGAGGGTTTAAGTGAGAACAGGAAAAGTCCCTGGCACAGTGCATAACTCTGAGTAGGCCTTCTGTGAGCTCATAGCTCTTAACTCCAAGAGGTATGTTTTTCGGGTGGTGGGTTAGTCTGTTTCCTAAACTTACTAACAGTTTTTTCCTCCTTGTGATAGCAAAACCCAGTGTCTGCATCTCCCATTCCCAGTGGCACCAACAGTCCAGCCCCTAAGAAGAGCACTGGCAGCGTCGATTATCTGGCCCTGGACTTCCAGCCAAGCTCTCCAAGCCCCCACCGCAAGGTGCCTGGGGCAGGGCGGGTGGGGCTGTTCCAGCTCTCAGGGCTCTGGTGGAGGGGGCCTTCAACACTGAACAGCAGCACTCCAGCCTCTTGTGGGCTGACTGTGCTTTAGTCTGTGCCTTACGGGGCTCACATGCCCCCTCTCTCAGCACACAGGCACCCTGGGTCCACAGGACCTCATCAGCCAGTCCACCCCTCTTGTACAGATGGTCAAATGAATGCACCCTGAGAGACACAATCTGCTCAAGGTTACAGAGCGCATCAGTGACAGATCCGGGACTCAGGACTCCTGTGTCCTGGTCCCGAGCTCTTCTTCAAGAACTCACTGTCTGGGTGGGTCCCAGAGCCCTGCTGTTGATGTAGTGGCCCTCTGAGGGGACTTCCAGGCCTAGAAATGCTCTACACAGGAAGTATACTTAGCTGACGTGTCCAGACAGCAAGGCAGGGCACCCCGCCTCAACACTAGTGCCCCTCACAGGGTGGCTGTGAGTGCTCACCAAAGGACACACACAAAGCCCTATGGCTAGTGCTTGCTGGCACCCAGAAAACTCCTTCCCCCAGATGAGTGGCCACACAGGCAGAAAAGTAGGCCTGGACCCATCCACCAGGCCAGGGGCGGGCCTGGGTCCTCCTAGGAGCTGGGAGATCAGGAGGGCTAAAGGGGCTGTCGTATCATGCAGGAAGGATGACACAGTTTGGAATTCAGGCTCTAAACGCCACTTTCAGAAAATGAAGACAGGGTCCTAAGGGGCTAGTCAAGGCAGCAGACAGAGGCCCACCTCCTCTTCCCTTGAGACAGTCACTCAGAAAGGGCCCACCCACCTGTCCCCCACCTCATGATAACTCACAGCCACGTCTACTTCCTCACTCTGCCCCTCAGCCATCCACGTCATCTGTCACTTCTGACGAGAAGGTGGACTACGTTCAAGTGGACAAGGAGAAGACCCAGGCCCTGCAGAGCACCATGCAGGAGTGGACAGACGTGCGGCAGTCCTCGGAGCCTTCCAAAGGCGCCAAGCTGTGACGTGGGGGCCCGCCAAGCCTAGAGAGGGGCCCAGAGGCACCAAAGCTGGTTCCTCCCCGTCTCCCCTTTCTCCTCTCCCATTGCCCGCTCCGGCCCATCCCTCTCCACTCTGCCGCTCTGGCCTTCAAAGCACTTGACATCAGGGACCCTAAACCTTTTCCCTGGGAGGTAAGGACCTGATTGAGGCACTTCCTCTGCCCACTTGGGGCCCACCTTTGGTTTCTATCAGTAATGGCCATGCCTCTACCCACCTTAGTTAGAGCTATTGCCAAAAAGTATCCTTCAGCCTCTTCCTGCCCTTTAGACCTGAGTATCTATCAGACGTGCGGAGGTTGGAGTTGAGGATCTGAGCCAGATTCCACAACTCACGTTCCCTCACAGCCCTCAGCCCCCTCCCCTGGGCTACCTCCTCCAGTCCTGTAAGAAGCCCGTCATCTCACTGACCAGGGAGACAAGGACCAGCAGACCAAAGCGGACATGGATGTCCGTTCCATCTGTCTCAGCGGGGGAGAGGCAAGGCCACCAAAAGATGGAAGAGTCGAGAAAGAAGGTTAGAGGTGGTCTTCAGAAGGGCAGTTGATACCTGCAGTGGCCCCCACTTTCAGCCAAGTGGCAGTGCAGCTTGTTGTGAGGTGGGAGAGACAGAAGGATGAGGACGAAAGGAAGGGAAAACTGAGGAAGATGGGCAAACACGGAGCAGGGCTCAGAGCCCAGGAGCTGGGGAGACAAGGACCGAGGGCTCGGGCCCCTGGACTATGGAGCCACAGGCCCATCTGGTGCTCTGGGACAGGGATTATATGCAAGACTTCCCCAAGTCCCCACCACCTGAGGGCGCTGCACCAGAGAAGGCTCAGACCGTGCTGGGTGGTGCAGTGCGTGCTGTGGGAGTGCCAGCATGGAGAGGGAGGCAGGTGGAGCTGTGCAGAGTGTGGGATGTAAGAGAGAGGGAGCATGGGGGGCACTGGAGGTCATGCCAAGACTTAAGGGCAACCCTAGAACAGGAATGGGCTGGGCAGAGGCACAGGGCAGTGCACGGGACACTGCATGGGGGACAGTGGAGCAAGTTTCTGCAAGATGGGCAGTGCAGCAGGGAGAGGCGCAGATACTGATGAGAGGAGAGGCAGGCGTGAAGGCCACGGAGCGGAGGACAGCACAGCAAGTGGGGAGACATACCCAAAGGGCCTGGTGGAGTACCCAAGGCAGTGGCATGGGGATGCAGGGCGGGAGAGAAAGTGATGTGTGGTGTCAGGGGAGCAGCACACGTGGTGGCGTGACGCAAGGGCAGTTCCCAGGACTGAGAGATGACACGTAAAGCAGTGCAAGGGCCAGAGCGGGGCAGAATGGAGCTTGGAGGATGACATGTGGGAATGGCTGACGGCTGGTGTGGTGTGGCTAGGGTTTGTGCCAGGTCCCTGAGCAGGTACAAGTGTGGCCTGGTGCCAGGCTCAGAGCGTTTTCTCAATTCACCTCACCTTCTGTTGCTCCCTCACATCCCAGGTGCCATGTTGGACTCAAACCTGGCTACAGGAACAGGAGAGGCCAGGCCTCTCCTCCCATGGTTTGAAAGGCCACCAGATCAGCACCAACCTCCACACATCCCTGGCAGGGACAAGAGGTAGGGCTTCACCCCAGGCTCAATCCTGAGCCTAGGGAGTGGGGGATTTGAATCTTTTATATGTTGAAAGTTCCTGACCAACTGTTCTGGAGTTTCAGAGGCAACTGGGGAGACTAGATATTTCATCCTACCCTGAGGGGTGAGTAAACCTTCCTCTTAAAAAAGAAAGACTCTCCACTGTGATTAGATGAGGTGGCTCTCGCTCGCCTCTCAGCTTCCCTCACCAGCCCGACGGCCTGACCATTCCCTAAGAAGTCCCATCCTGGGAGAAATCATTTCCTCAACAGTAGCCCCTTCCTCTTAATATTAGTTCAAATCAACTCAACCAGCATTTATTAATGGCTGCTATGACCAGGCTCTGGGCTGGGCACTGAGGACACAGGAATTAATCAGAAGGTCACAATCAGTGAGAAAAAAGATAAGGACACGAGGTATTGGTAATGTCCATGAGAGAAGTAAAATGCTGATGTCCCCTTTCCTAAGACAGAAGCACAGCCATTCTGAAGTGACTGGAGCATGGACAAAGGAAGTGAGGCTACTTCTCTGGGAGGCTGGTGCCAGGGGCAGGAGTGGGAAGCGGGTAGAGATCAGAGAAGGTGGTTACTAGGAAAGGAGGTGCCTGGAATGTGCCAGGTTTTTACAGGGAAGGAGAGCAGTGCTGGGCCCAGTGGAGGAAGAAGCTTTGTGCTTTGGGAACAGAAGACCTTTGGGAGCGTGCGTCCATGCTGCGGTGTTCCTGCAGGTGGAGTGGTGATGGTGGCAGGGGCCTACAGTGGGCAGTTTGCTGGTTCACTCTGCCCAGCCCTGAATGTGTCCTTTTAAGACCCTCTACGAAGGGTCTCATGTGGCAGAGCTTTTAATGGTACCACCCCCGTGCCCCCAGCAGGCTACAGGTGGGCCCTGGTATTGACGCTCTCGGTTCCCAGCCCCAGCAGCTCACCCCCATTAACCCCTGGGTACCCTAATAATGTCAGCATTTTCTGAACGTGCCATGATGTGAATGAAACTGGTCGGAGTCCCAGAGACTAAGATGTTCAAATCTAATCTGCAAGGAGACCTCCCTTCAGTTCTTGGTTCCTGTAACTCCCCAACTCTCAGGGTGGAGGGGCAAGGGTAGAGATGGAAGGAAGTAGAAGAGCAGAGGAACTCCCAAACCCCAAAGTGCCGGGCGTTCACTACACACCTGTCAGCTCAGTTTAAAAAACTGATCCTTTGACCTATCAGTGGGTCAAAGTCTGCCTCTCCTGGTGGCCTGGCAAGAACAGGGATGCTTTCTCAGTCCGCATAGCTCTCACAGGGCTCATCCCGCCTGGGGCTCCTCACGGAAGGAGCCGTCCTCACCCAGTTCCAGCTCCATCTCCGCAGAGTTAACAAAAGTAGAGCAGGGACAATGAGATAAGAGAGAGCAAGTGCTACAGGAGATGTGTCTCCCTTGGACCTTGATTTGCCAGTCTGTGAAATGGGTGGTTGTATTAGGTGGTCTCTGGGGCCTCTGATGTGAACGATCCTCAGCTGTTTCGCGAGAGAACTACCTGCCCTGTGACTTCTCTCTCAAGGGCCTGGATGTGTTTCGCGAGAGAACTACCTGCCCTGTGACTTCTCAAGGGCCTGGATCACCAGGGATGGGCAGCCGGTTAACCCAGTCCCCTCCCTAGGTTGATTTTGGTAACATTTACATTTGAAACCACTCAAATATGCCCCATTCCTAGGACAGAAGCACAACCATTCTTAAGTGATTGGAACACAGGCTCAACTCCAATCTGCCCTCTGGCCCCTTTACCTGCCACAAAGCTAAGGCCTCAGTCCCAAGCCCTGGCTGACCAAACCTGCCCCAACCCACACCCTTGACAGGCTCTGGAAGCAGAGGGCCGGACGGATGGGAGGGAAATTGGCATGTCCTTCCTCTCTCTGGGCTTTTATCTGCAAAATGGGGAGGAAGGGAGGCTGATCACATGAGCTCTAAAGCCCTTCTTACAGGCAGGGCCATCATTCTGGGACTCCCCAAGCTCTCTGGGACCAGGTGGGCTACCTGCTGAGGGCATCCCACTAGAGATTCAGGCTGTCATGTGATATTTGGTGGTATGTGTTCTTGTGTGTTTGTTGGTTACCTGTGTCTTGAAATTTAGAATCATTTCACACAGAATTGTTGCTATTTGTCGGGAGGAGAATATGGGCTAGGCGTAGCCCAGTCTTAGGTTCTTGCCCTGTTACCACTTAAAATTGACATTTAATTTTTCAAATCACTGTTGGTGCCTAATCACTTAAGTTATTAATTTATTCTGTTTTCTTTTAAAAACAAATTTGTAACACGTATTTATCCTGTGAGTAGGGTGGGGCGGGAACGTGTTCTGTTTTTGCTGTGGTGACACATGGTACAGGCCTGGCACTTGCAGGTCTCTTTTTACTGTGGTGTTGGAACAGGACAACAATAAAGTCCATTAGAAGCAACCAGAACAGGCTGCTGAGTCTGCCTCGTCTGAGGGCCTGGGGGTGCCCGTGCGTTGGCTTAAATACATTCTTGATGAGGACATTTTCTCTCATGGACCCAGGAAGGCTCTGGGCCAGTCTTGCTCCACTTTCATTTTAATAGGAAATAACTGAGTACTTTTCTTGGCTGGAAACAAGAATGACCCCTCCTTACCTCAGAACCTGCAGTCCTTATGTGCAAACTGTAGTAACATCTGCCAATTCAGCTTTCTTAGAAGGCAGCCTGGACTGGGACTCGGTTTCTGACAGACTATGGGCCCACTTTTGCTGGTCCCTAAGGTCTGATATTTAAGGGTCTATGATATTTGGGCCAAATTTTAACTCCTCTACCTACAGTGCAGGCAGCCTGTGAAGCCCAGCCCTGGAGGAAGGCCCTGCTTCCCAGCCATACTCCTGGCCTGTGCCCACGTCCAGGAGAGGCCGCCCAGCCCTAGGTTCTCAGGAAGAGGAATGTGGTATCAGCAGTAGCTATTTCTGGGCAGTCCAGAGTTCTTGGGATCTGAAAACCTCTCAGATATCGGGCTCCAGCCCCACCTGATAGGTGAGTCCCCTAACAGCATCCCAGTGGGCAGTCCCCAGCCTACATACCCACCCTTCCAGAGGCAAAGGGCTCCACTGCTTCTCAGAATAATGAGAGCATGCTTCCTTCCCTCTGCCAGCACCTGCCTCTGGGTAATGTCTCCACCTTTAGTCCTAGGTCCTCACCTTAATTTACAGAGCACTTCAGTGTAGGGTGCTTCCACCTTACCTGATGTACCCTCCTTACTGCCTAGGCACACCAAGAAACCAAGCATACAGCAGACATCACAGCCACTAAAGTGAGAAGAACATCTTTAACGGTTTCAGCAAATCTATTTTTATTCCCGTTTGAGACCCCAGGTCTCTTCTCTCCATTTAAAGGGGTACAGCAGTGTCAGGGCCTGAGGTCAGTGTCTACTCCTTCACTGGACCATCTCCGCCAGCTCCCAGGCCACTGCTCTAATGCCCACTGAGGAGCTGAGCCAGCCAGCTTTCCCCAGGACGGACAACAGCTTCATGAGAAACACACATATCTTCAGTAAAATAAGGATTTTTCCAGCTTAACCAGAAGGGGGATGCAAACAGCGGCATCCCAGGCACTGAGGCAGGCTAGGGGAGATGGGGTTAAGGGTCTCCCACTGCGAGAGGGGCTGTCCTCACCTCTATGCATGTTGCTTGGTGTGGGGACAGGCAGTCTCTGATCCTGTGCCAGGCTGCTTCTCTCAAAAACAGTACAAACAGTGCAGGCACCCCCACATTACCCCCCAAACCCCCTCAGAGAAACAAGAAAGTAGCCAGAGCTGAGCCCCCTCTTCTTTGTGCTAGGACTTGGAGCCTGCTCTGCTTTTTATACTATACAGCAATAGGATTGTCTAAAAGAAGCTGGAAGGGAAATGCTACTTGATGGAAAAACGCCAGCGCTGTGAAGTTCAGCCCTGTTGGTACTCGGGGGTCGGGGGACAAGACTTGAGTGTGCATCTAAACTGCTTCAAGTTGCCCAGGACACTTGGGTGTAGAATCCTATTGGGGCTGATCCCAGTGTCAGGGCCTGCGGCCCAGTCTAAGAGGCTTGGGTCTCACCTCTGACTCTCCGGGTACCCTTCAGGCTGAGGACCAGTGTCCCAGAAGCCCCCTCCCCGCCTTTCTTGCCCTTGGAAGGGCCTGCCTTCAGGACTGGACCGGCCCCTACCCAGCTCCCAGAAGAAAGGAGTCGAGGCCCTCCTGAGGTTTGCTGTGGCACCACCAAAGGTAGGAGCAGGGAAGGGCTCACATTAGAAGACCAGTCTGTGGAAGTCTCCGCCACTGCCACCTGCAGGGTTGCAGCCCCCAGGAGAGCCTTCGTCTTCATCTTTGTCTTCGTCAAAGCCCTTCCCCCAATGTGGAGATGCTGGGAGTGCAGAGATGTAGGCCGCCCTGCTCCGTGCCTCCTTCTCCTGCTCCTGGGAACACAGATGCAGGGGGGAAGGAAGCTTAAAATTCAGGCTCTGGGGCGCAGAAGCTCCCTTCACTCCCTCCCACAATGCCACAATGCCATCCAGCTCAGCGCAGCACTTCTGAGTGTCTCAGGTCCCCAGGGCCAGGCACAGAGGAGCCACAGCTTCTGCCCTAGAGGCAGTCCAGCTCAGTGAGAGGACAGGTAGGATGGACCCATCCTTACATCCTATATCTAAGCTTCAAAATCATTCTTCCTCCTCCTTCCAATAACCCAGCCCCTTGGAAGAAAGGAACTCATTCATACTAGACTAGCTGATATGGTACCAGGATGCCCAAAAACTTGAAGGGCCACGTCACACCACACAGGGACCTTTCTTCAGGCTTCCTGATGCAGCTGTCCAGCTCACTGCCTCTGAAGGCCCTAGGAATGGACTTGCCTGTGAGAAAGCGCCTCCCACTGCTAAACTGAGGCCGGCCTCCAGGAGACTTTTTGCCACAGGCCCTGACTCTGCCTGGACAACCTGGCAGAGATGTACAAGCAGGCCTGGTGTCTCCACCCCAGGTGCCACCTTCCCCACAAAAACACCAACTCCAGCTGCTGCTGTCCATAGGTCCCGGTGTGGCTACTCTGGGTGTTTGTGGCCACTACCCCTCCCATTGGTTAGAGCCCTTGCTGTTCAAGTTAGTTACTAAGTATTTTGACACCCCTGACACTGGAGAGTAGAGTCAAAGGCACAGTGACAGAGGAGGTTCTCTGGGCAGGGTGGTCCTCTGATGCCCCAGAGGCACTCTACCTGTTCACATTCGACTCTTCACTCACAGAACCCCATGCTGCTCCTTCAGCACACCTATGAAAACTGGGTAAATAACTAGTCAGTGTCTGTTCCTCTGAAGTAAGGGGTTGTATCTGTCTGGTCTACCAAAATACGCCAGCACAAAGTGGACAAAAGGAAAAAATAGAGAGACTTGAGAGGAGCAATCATGTCCCTGAGCAAGAGGCGGCACTGGGAAGCCCCTCCACCCAGAAGCTCCAATCAGAGGTCCCAACGGCTCTGCTCACCTGCAGGAAAAGGATGTTGTCTTTGGAAATGGCTTCCATCAAGTCTTTGTGGAGGGTGGGCTCTGTCTGGACTCTGGGGGAGCCCAGCTCAGCCTCGGGTCCCTCCCCGGGCCGCTGCCGGTAGAAGAGCACATAGGCCGTGTCCTTGGGGAAGAAGGAGGTGACATTGCTGACAGACTCAAAGGAGGAGAAGGATACCCGAGTATCGTTGAACAGGTACCACTGGTGCTCGGGCTCGGGCCTGTCGGCAGCAACCAGGGAAGGGGCGGGGCGGGCGGCGCCCTCGCGAGCATAGCAGTAGTAGTGACCGCTTTCTGAGGACACTCCGGAGTGCACCACGACACTGCAGAGGTCGTAGGCCTGACCTAGGCCTCCGGCTAGCGGCAGGCGGAGCAGCAGGGGGATGGCGACGTCGTCCAGGATCTTGCGGCGCCGCATGGTACGCAGATCGAAGGAGAAGCGCAGCAGGGTCAGGATGAGGTAGCGCGGGCCGTGGCTCAGCTCCACCACCTTCTCCGCCTCCTGCAGTGAGGCACATGATTCACAGTAGTAGCAGTTCTCTGCCATCAGCCTCTCAGGGGACAGGAAGTAGTTGACCAGGTCCAGGACGGAGCGGGAGCCCTCCCCAGAGGGGGCGGTGGCCCTGTGGGTCCCTGGACCCAGGCTATCCTCCTCCTTCTCCTTGTTGTTGGCCTCTTCCTCCTCCTTGGCCTCCTTCTCAACCTCCTTCTCCTTCTCGGCCTTCTCTCCTTCCTCCACTTCCTTCTCTTTCTCCTCCTTTCGCACTTCCTCCTCCTCTGCTCTCTCCTCCTTCACTTCTTCATCTTTCTCCACCTTCTCCTCCTGACTGCTTTGCCTCCCAGGTCCCTGGGGACTCAGGCCTTCAATGTCCAGGACAGTGGGGGGGGCATCCCCTGTGATACAGTGTTTTCTCTGCCTCCTATTTGGGACGTGGGCTTGGGACGGTGTTGGGGGGTCCCGGGCTCCGATGCCCTCCACCGGGAGCATCACTGAGCCTAGGCGGCGGCGGCGATAGCGCTCGGGTGGCGGAAAGGCCAGAGAGAGGTCCGTGAAGGCCTCCTCCCTGGAAGAGACGTTGAGGCAGCGCAGACAGCATATCCGAGTCACAATCTTGCCTCCGAACATCTTCTCCACAGAGGTTGAACTTGGGCCAGGGGGCTCCTCAGGTGGGGACGGCGAGCTGGACTGCTTGAGCTTTTGGCAGATCCTTGTCCCCGTTTTCTCCTCTTCATGCAGCCTGGCGCAGGGAGCACAGGATCTTCGTACATATACATGGATCCAGTGCGCCATCTACCTTACTCAGCTGGCCCCGCAGTTAGACACATACGCATGCAGGAGTACGCACAGGGAATATGCAGATGTTTGCAAAATGGCACCCGTGCACATGCACTGACAAGCCAGGCACACAAACCTGCTACGTACATATCTACGTGCACATGCCTCCAGAACTGGGATGAAGACACACACGTGCACTCTGACAAGCATAGTACAATATGTATACACACACTTAACCCTCCCAGGTCACGGTTCAGGTCAGCACCTCCTAAACTTCCCTCACATTCAGCCCCTGCCCCCACGCTCATGGCACCCATCTTCTCAGAGTCTTCCTCAAATACAGTGCAGCACTCCCATTTCTAGGAAGAGGCAAAACAGCCTGGAGGGATGGGGCTGTCCCTTAGGCCTGGCCTCCCTTACCGATCCAGCAGGTACTTCAGGTACTCCGAGCAGTCCTGCTGGGTGCCGGGGCTGAACCAGGGTGTCCAGGATGCAGAGAGAAAGTTCTCTGGAGAAATGGCAGGCCGCTAGGTCCAAGGTAGGTGAAAGGCAGGGTCAGGAGCAAAAGACCACTCATAAACCATCTCTGCAGCATGCTAGGCCTGAAGGTCTAGCTGGGGACTCTGTGCCCTAAACTTCCCAGCCTCCTCACTAAAGTCCTGCCTCCTCTTAGTCATCCCTGAGCCATCCTGTCTCACCAAGCTCACACATCCTATGAGCAGGGCATCGGGTTCACAGGTGTAAACAATCCTCTAGCCATTTGTTCTTCCCTGACACACCTCATACTTTCTCTCCAGACCCTTGCTCATTGCCATTCCCTCTGCCTAACACATCCTTCTTCTCTGTCAAAAGCTTAGCTATAGAGTTCAAGTCCCAGATGCACCTGTTCCATGATGTCACCTGTTCTGTAATATCTTCCCAATGTCCCCTCCCCCATCATAATCAAGCTCTCCCTCCCTTGCATGGCACAACAAACTGCACTGCCCTCTGTTCAAGCACTGTAATTGTTATCTGCACTTTGTCCTCCCCACCAGACTGTAAGCTCCACAAGGGCAGGGACTGGTGCTTACTCATCTCCATGCCTCCACATGGGGCCTTGCAGAATACTTGGCCAAGGACTACAGGTTCCATAAGGGCGGAGACAGTGGACAAAACAAACACAGCCCTTAGGATGCCTGGCAATGTGAGTGCTCAAAAATGACAGCAGATGAACAAAGCAATACCTAATGCAACAGACTGAACTGAACAGAGAATGCACTGATGGGCAGCAAAAAGAGAGCTTAAGGAGGCACCCCCTCTCCTGCCGGGTAAGGGTGCTGAATCAGCCCCATGGGCTTTGGCCATGAACCCAGGCCAGCCTGGACTGGAGCTCAAGAATTTATACCAGGAAGTGGGGGCTTACAGCCAGATGCAGGCAGGTTCTGGGGAAGGGAAGGGTGTCAGATCAGAGCCTCCTCTCTATGATGCCCCAACTCCCCCTGCACTCACCTGGCTATGCTCCAGGAAGGCAAAGAGCCACTGCAGTTTGGTCATCAAGGGCTGTGAGTTGTTCTCAGTCAAACGGAGCACACAGTGCCTGAAGCTTCAAAACAAAGCAGGAGCACCAGGGTAAGCCAAGGGCACCCAAGGAGCTTCTATTCACCCATACCACAGGTGACCCGGAGCCTCCGGGCTAAAGGCAGAACAGACACTTGTAGCTCAAGTTTGGACCCAAGACTGGGAAGGAGGAGTAAGTGAACAAGACGATGGGCATAGACGATGAGGTGACCCCTGATGTCCCTTCCACTTCTGACAGCCCATGACACCAAGATTTGATGATTTGAATGTCCTAGGCCCTATGGTCAAAAATTCTAAGGCTGGAACTCTGTGGCATGCTGCAGAATCCATGCCAATATTACCAGCACTCACACCCTTTGCCCTACTTCCCCAGGAAATGGTGTTCAGACCCGCTCAGAGCAACAGGCCTTAATCCAACCTCAGCCTTCCAAGTCCGCTCTTATAGCCCCTTCTCAGGGCCAAAGCCACTGCCCCAAGGACCACCCCAAGCTGTTCTGCTGCCTTCAAATGAGGGAGGCAGGTCAATGTGAGGAATATGCTCAAAGAAAAGGACCCTGAGGTGGTACACTGGCTCCCAGTGATAGGGGTCTGGTCCTACGGAAGATAGGAAGGAGCCCCTCCTGAAACCCACATTCCCTGGAACAGAGATTCCAATAACCCAGCTTAGCTCCTGTTCTCACAAGCAGCTCCAGGCAGATAGGTGGACTTTCCTAAAATCTCAAAGGTCTACAAACCCCTAACAAGTAGCATCTCACCTCAGCATGCCATGTACCTCTTGCTAAGCAGCCCCAAGCCTGGCACTTGTGGCAGCCAGCCTCGATTCACAGCTTAGCCTCTCAGAGGCACCTCCAAGCCCAGCACAGGCAGCATCTGAACTTGGTCTGCATCACAGACCCTTCCAAGAGGCTCCAGAACCAACATACATAGTGGCAGCTTCAGACCATAACAGAGCACCACCCAATCAGCTCCACAAATGACATACCCAAAGGATGAACTCAGCAGGCACCAGAACCTGCCAAAGCAAATCCTGCTCTATGGAGTCAGCCCCTGCACCACAGCTTGTCCACTGTAGTCACAGCCATTCCTCACAGCCAGTTAGCTTGAAGGTCAATCCCTCACACTGACATGCTGACAGCAATCAAGGTTCAACTACAACAGGTGGGCACACACAACCCACACAAGGAACATTACTGGAAAACTCGGCACAGGTGACCAGAAAGACTATGCATCTGGGCTCCACAGGACACCTACTACACAAAGCCACTCTGGGCATAGACGATGTAGCAGATTTACCTAATACATAGACATGAACACAGAGAGTCAGCCAAAATGAGGAAACAAAGAAACATATCCCAAAAGAAAGAATGAACAAAACTCCAGAAAAAGAACTAAACAAAATAGAGACAAGCAATCTTATAAGGATGCTCAATGAACTTAGAGGAATAGATGAACTCACTGAGAATTTTAACAAAGAGATAGGAAACATGAAGATAGAAAACATAAAAAAGAACCAGTCAGAAATGAAGACTACAAGAACTGAAATGAAGAACACAAGAGAGGGAATCAACAGTAGATTAGATGAAGCAGAGAATCGAATCAGCAACTTGGAACACAAGGGAGTGGAAAATACCCAATTAGGACAGCAAAAAGAAAGAAAACTCAAAAAAAGTGAGGATACTTTAAAGGACCTCTGGGACAACATCAAGCAAAACAACATTCATATCACAGGGGCACCAGAAAGAGAAGAGAGAAAAAAAGGGGTTGAGAACCTATTTGAAGAAATAATGGTGGAAAACTTCCCTAACCTGGCAAAGGAAATAGACATACAAGTCCAGGAAGCACAGTCCCAAACAAAATGAACCCAAAGAGGCCCACACCAAGACACATCATAATTAAAACGCCAAAGGTTAAAGACAAAGAATCTTAAAAGCAGCAAGAGAAAAGCAATCAGTTACCTACAAAGGACGTTCGCATTAGACTGTCAGCTAATTTCTCAAAAGAAACTTTGTAGGCCAGAAGAGATTGGCATGAAATACTCAAACTGACAAAAATTAAGGACCTAAAACCGAGATTACTCTACCCACCCTCACATGCCAGGGAGCCCAAAGGAAAGCAGCAGGGGGGCAGACAGAGAATTCAAAACCAGCACCTACTCAGAAGCCATGAACAAGGCCTGAAGGATGCTGTTCACATAGCACGTGTTGCCCAGATTGATTAAACCAATCTTGCCCGTGTCTGACTTGGCCATGAGCCGGGGGTAGAAGCCAGCCAGCTCACTCTTCTGTGAGGTCCAGGCATCCTGCCCCAGCAGTTGCTTGATGCGGTCCTCATTGGGAACATGGAGATCCTGAGGTAGGAACAAGCCAGCAAGAGAATGAGCACCAAGGTCAGCTCTAAAAATATCACCTCCTCTGGGAAGCCTTCTTGGACTACGGCCTACCTCACACCCACCCAAGCACACTACCCCACAAATGTTCTAGAGATGTGTATGAATAGGCTCCTGCTTTCAAGCTTACTGTAGTTTCTCATCTTAACATGTGGGCCTTCTACATGATCTTTCATGCCACAACTGCCTTAAGAAGGTGGTGAAATCCCCCATTTGCTAGATGAAAAAACTAAGACTCAGATCAAGAATTTTCCACGGACATACAAATAGTAAGCAAAGAATCTGTACATTCTTAGAAGAGCCCAGGCTATGACAGGCTGAGCAATGACAACAATGGCCCACAGGCCAGATCCAGCAGATCTCAACCTTAGTCCTGACTTTTGTCCTCACTAGCTATCTGGCCATGGTCAGTGAGCCTCTCTGACTCAGTCAGTTAACCTCCCTAGACCTCAGTTTCCTCATCTGTCACATGAGGACACTCCTACCTGATATCAGTTTGGCACTCTATACTTGCATGGTGCTTGCACACAATGATGCTCCTGCTTCACCTTCTACTTTTAGGTTTGCAGAGTCAGCTTTTTTAAATTAGTCACCTCCCTGGAACTTGATCCCACAGTCAGGACAGTGGGAGGATCCCAGGGGTCTGAGGTATGGGTCTTTGGTCACGGGCTCAGGGATTAGCAAGTTTTCTCACTCATTATCCTTTTTCACATTAAACAGCTGCACCTAAAAGAATATTACCAAGCGCTAGTTCCAGTTATGATCTATTTTAAAGAAAAACACCTAAACATAATATAGAATTACTTGGTAGATTTAAGTAATAGTCATAACAGTTCCTCTAGCCCTGCTTTCATTTCCAGATCCTGAGCACAGTCTCTAGATTTGTCCAAGGCTCCAAAGCTTCAAACCAGCTCTGGAAACACTGAAAGCACCCATCTCCCCAGTGCACATCCTCCAGCCACTGTGGAAGGTCTGGCTCAAGCAGTGGTTTAACACTTCTGCCCATTCATTTTCCCAGGGTCATTTATCAAATTATTTATCAGATTAGTCAGTTCTCACAGATAAAAAATGTAGGCGCTTCCAGAAACAAGGTAAGAAGATACAGGCTCAGTATCATCTCTTTTTTCTTCCTGTTACCCGCTATCCAATCTCCACTCCACACACAACATGAATAAATAGGGACAAAAAAGCAGACTGAGCCCCACGCATGCACCCATCTGCACACAGAAAATGCAAAAATATCCACACTAAAAATAAAAAAAACATTTTCCCAAAGAAGGTAACTTTATCCTCTTAGGAAAATAAAAACAAGAACTTTCATATCACTCGCAAGCTCCTAATGTTACTGGAAATTTACAAACAATGGCTCCCTTAGCAAGGACCACAGCTCCAGAGACACTGCCATAACCTGGTACAACTGCCTACTTAACAAACTTTCCAGAATTTATAAAAGAGCCTGTATATGAAGAAAGATGGACTCATAGAATACATGTGAAAGAATTTTATAAACGAAATCCTGCAGAAAATTTGCTGTCTTGCCCCTCAAACTGGCTTAAACCAAGGTGTATTCAAAGCCATAGGACAAAAGTAGCACACCTTCTTGGAGCTGTGCTCTCTAACAGTCAAGGAAGAAACATATGTTTATATTAAAACAAATGTAATTATGAGGTCTATACTTAAGTCATTGAGATAAAATGAGATTTTAGAGAAACTCTGGCTACTTGGGGTAAGTCCCCTCCTCTGACGGCAAGTACTTTGGCAGAAAATTTGAGAAGCCCAAATCTGCTCGATTAAGCAGAGTCGCTTAGGCTGGTTTTCAAGGCCCTCTGACTGATCTTACTGATCTCCACTCCGCTCCACCAACACATTCAGCCAAACTGGACTTGCACATTCTCACCCCCTACGCCTTTCTCTCTGTCAATCCCCATCCCTCAAGGTCCAACCCCTATCCTCTCTCTAGAAGGCTTTCCAGGATCTTCTCAAATGGGGTCCCCACACTATCTATACCTTTCTTATAAAGCATAACTCCCTGCACCTAGTAGTACAGGTATCGGCAGAATCACCTTGCCCCCTGAATCAGACCATAGTCCCTCGCGGGCAAAGCCGGGGCCTCACTCCGCATGGTTTTCCCTCCAGGCTCAGTGCTGGGCCATGCTCCCTCCTCTTGGTCCACATCTCCATGATAGCATTCTTCACACTACAGTCATGTTCACTCACTCATTTACTGGGCACAGAGATCAAAAAACGACACAGTCCCCTGCCCACCTGAAGCTTACAATCCAGCAGGAAACACTAACAGTCACCTCCAGTAAGTGGAAGTCCTGCGTCTTCTGCTCATCCCCCTCCAGTGACAGGGAGCTCAAAACCTAGCAAGGCAGCCCCTTACAGGTAAGCTCTATTGAAAATCTCCCTCATGTTAAGTCGGAAGAACTGAGAAGATCCAAGTAAACGGCAGAGGTTTCATTTGTTGTATCTACCTACTGTCACAGTACATTGTTCCCTTGTATGTTTTATCATTTTTGTATTATAAACTCATCTTCAGTAGAATCTCATCTTTGTGACTCGAAAGCAGTTTCGTTTCCATTTCAACTAGGCAATCATGGGTATTACAAGTTTATGACTACGTTTAACGTTAGTATCTGAGCTTAGGGGTCCCATAACACCAAAGATGGTGTGAATTTGAACCCTTAAACCAATATGAGAGCAGGCCACTGACTGCAAATTTCTTTTTTTCCAATCCACAGCCCAGACCAAGCCAGAAAACTTTCTTTGATATCTGTTTAGGACCATGTTTATATTTTTTCTAGATCAACTCTAACAGTAAAGCTAACAGTAAAGCCTTTCTTGGGTCCTGTCTTATGTGGGCCTCTTAGTGCTAACTCCTTACGAGGGGCAGGCACTATGCCTCATCTCTTGTCCCCATCAGCTCAAGCCCCTTAGTGACTGAGGCCAGCTATCTCACCCACCCTCCCTCCCCATCCCAGGGAAAAAGAGCAGCATCTCTCACTTACCGTTCTGGAACTCAGTTTTCTCTTCCTTTTTGGCCCCTGGGGATTCCCCCTTACTTTCTTGCCAGTTCAGCTATGTACTTAAAAAGACGTTTGTTATATTTTAACAAGCATTTCTAAGTGTTTTGTAGTGGGATACTTTTCAGGTTATCTATCTGCTGTGCTACGAAAATGGAAGTCAGACGAGAGGTTCTGAACGGGCCACCACCTACCTAGGTATTTTCCACCCATGCTTGAGCCTGCCCTCTGTACCAGGCAATCCAGTCCTGGCTGTGTCTCTCACTATCTCTATGACTTTGTACAAGTAACCAAACCTCTCCAAACCTCATTTTCCTCATCTATGAAACTGAAATGACAATAGTATCTGCTTGGCAGGTTTTTTGTGAGCATTGGCAGAGAAAATACATGGGAAAACACTGTCAGATGAGGTACATCGACAGTTGTTAGTTACTGTCCCAGCAATCCAGCCAGCCTAGTTCAGAAGCCCTTTCCTCTTGCAGCCAACTGGGGATCTTTCCCTCCTCTGGTTCTTCACTGCTCCCAGCTGACCTTCACAGTTGTTTCATTAGCTTCTTAAATCAGTTACTTTTATACAAGTTTGTCAGCCCCCCAGGCTGAAAACTCCTCAGTGGAGGTAACTCATGCCTCTGTCCCCAATTCCTAGCCTGGGCCTGGCACAGAGTAGGGTGACAATAAAGTCATGTGAACAATTGCAAACAATCCCTGCTCTACAGTGCTCATCATCTGGTGGGAGAGACAGACACAAAGTCAATGACAACGTGTAACAGAGGAATGCCCCAGGGCTGTGAGAGCCCAGAAAGACCCTGACCCAGCCTGGTGGAGGCAGGAAGATTTGAGAGTTATCAGAGAAGGCTTCCTGAAGGAGGTAACAATTGAGCAGAACTTTAAAGGATATGTAGGAGTAATTCAGGCAGAACACGAAGAGGATTTACAGTTAGAGAGAACGGCATATGCAGAGGCTCAGAGCAATCGTGAGAGGATGACCCATCTGGGCAATGGCAGGTGGCTCAGTGTGCCTGAAGCACAGGATGGGCCAAGGGAGGTAATGGGAGACAGCCAGGGACCAAATAATGGGGCTGTCACCAACTTGCAGCATGGCCCTAAACAAAGCCCACATCGACACCCTTGTCAGAGTGGGGCAAGGGAGCAGTGGGGAATTGTCACTCACCTTAATGGCTTCCATGATGGGCTCATACAGGTCTGGGAAGCCTGGGAACCGGAACACCATGCAGTGGACCAGCTCTGCCAGCTGCTCCAGGCAACTGGCCCCCGAGTTTGAGTCCTCCTTGAGCAGAGAGGCCACCATGGGGGGAATGTGAGGGAGGAGCTGTGAGAGCAGAGGGGTTAGGCTTAGCACTGGTTTACCCACCTGAGACGTGGCATAGTGGTCACTGCTGAACACATCCAGAGCTCCCTGTGGCAGGAGGTTTGCTAACCTGACCACTTCCTCTTTACCCACATGGGGCTCTGAGCTCTGCAGGCAGGTGACTCCCCTTATAAGATCTGTGACCTTGGACACCCTGCCTCAATCTCTTCACCTATAACATGAGATCAATAACTCACTCCTCACAATTAAAGGGAGGCCTGAGCCCAAGCCCCAGCTGTTAAGCCTCAGCCAGTTGACCTGCCTGAAGGCCCGAGTGACCAGGGCTTCTCTGCCCATCCAGGAGTGATGCTGGGGCCATGATATGGCCAGCTGGTGGCCAGCCCTGATGGAGCATGAGCTGCCACCTCTGGGGGCAAACACCATCATTCTTTCACCAAATACACATGTCAAGTACTTCATCTTCACAATGGTGATTATTATCTCCATTTCCTAGATGAAGACATTGAAGTTAGAGAGATTATAAAATCTGCCAAGAATTTCAGCATGGGTTATGGGAGCTGGTGTCTGAACCAGGTCTCTCTGAATCCAAAGCCCATTTCTTTCCTCTGTGCTACAGGCTGTTAACTTTCAAACCCATGAGGGTTCTACACCCTCCATTTCCTAGATGAAGACATTGAAGTTAGAGAGGTTATAAAATCTGCCAAGAATGTCCCAGGGGACAGTAAGGCTACAGGGAGCAAGGGAGCAGGGGAGCCCAAAAAAAGGATGGGGGGAGAACCCCCCCCCCAAAAAAAAAGCTATCTGTCAAGTCCCTAGTATGTGGAAGGCTCTTAACAAATATTACTTCATCTGACCCTCCCACCATCCTATGGTTTACCGCTGTCCAGGCTCTGAGAGGTAGGTTTTCGGCCCAAGGTCACCAAATCCAGCAGACAGCAGAGCTGGGACTCAACCCGCAAGTATCCCAATCCCTGGTTCTGTGCTTTTCCCACTGCAGCAAATAGGGAACCAGGGGCCATAAGAATCTAGGCCCCAACTGCAGGTCCTCGGAAGGCAGGCAGGGGAAGGTGGCCCCCAAGGGCCACAGGCTATCCTTCCCAAAGGAGGGCCCAGAAGCCCGCAGAAATGGCCCTGAGCTGCAGCCCAGGCCACTAAAGTGCTGGCAGGCAGCAGGGTACAGAAAGGGCACTGGGTTGAGAGTCACACCAACTTGGCTAGAATCCTCCCTGTACTGCTTACTAGCTATGTGTATGTGTCCAAGACAAGTGACTTAACCTCCCTACACTGCAGTTTGCTCAAGTGAAAAATAGAGAAAATGGCAGAACCTCTTTCTTAGGGCTTCTCCGGGAATTAAATAAATGAAAATATGTCCTGCCTTAGCACTATGACTGGCACACAGCTGGTACCCAGGGAACATTAGCTGTCATCATTCTAGGCCTGTCATTCGATTATGGGCCCACGGGGAAGCCATACAAATTCTCTGGCCTCAGCTTCCTATCTGTAAGTTGGGGTCTCAAATATCCTCCAGTCCTAACATCCAAGGCTTCGAAGGCTTGGTCTTCCAGCACCGACCCATTAAGCCCCAACAGAGACAGCATGCCTGGCCTACAGCCAGACCAGTGCGGGGCACAGCAGGGATGGGCCCTTACCAGGTGGAAGGCCTCATGGGAGTGCTGGAAGGTCAGGAGCATGTACTTGAGGACAGACAAGGCAGATCCTCGGACAATGGGGTACAGAAGCTTGGAAAAAACCTGGAAGAGAATCCCTGGTCAGGAACCCTCCAGGCCTGGGCCGCCCAAGGCTGAGTGCAGCCACAGGCTGGAGTTGAAGCAGCAAATCCATGTCAGAGCAAGAAAATGGAGGAGCTCACGACCTGGTGGATGGACAGATGGCAAAATGGACAGCAAGATAGTTATCTGATGAATGGATGGACAAACACACCAAAAGTAACATACACATGCCTGAATGAGCAGTCAGACAAATGAATGGGGAACTTAAGGCCCAGAGAGGGGCAGTGAATTGTCCCAGGTCACAGCGAGCTTGGGTGGGAGCCCCAGTGCTCTGCCTCAGACCTGGACTGCTACTGGCAAGAGACTAGCAGGAAGGGCCATAAGCAAGGGCTAGAACGGGGGCCCACCAACCTTCTCAATTTTGGCGAGTGAAACCTCAATCAAGATGCTGAACTTCTTAACAGCGGCCAGGCCCTTCAGCAGTGCAATGATCCATTTGTCAATGTTCTTCCCCAAGGGCCAGGACACCCAGTCGATCATCCTGGTGAGGGGAGTACAGGGACAAGGGAGGCCCAAATGCCTGGGTAGGGGCAGGCCAGGGACTAGCCATAATGTCTTGAGGCCCCACACTAACTCACACCTGCACAGGGCAGCCCAGGGGTCCCTAGGATGAACAAGATGCCTTGGGATATGCAAATGAGCCCAGCACAGGCACCTGGCAGAGACCTGGGCTCCCAGCCCAGCAAGAGGAGAGCCAGGCCCTCTCACACCCCAAACCTCACCCCCACACACAGACTACTGTGGAAGAACAGGGTTTTTGGCTGCTTCTGCCTGGACCCCAATGGCAGGAAGAGCACTGCCCCTGGGCCAGAAGATCTGGCTCCAGCAAACCATGGCTTGTGACCTGGAACAAGTCATTTACTCTCTGAGCCTCAGTTTCTTCCTCTGTGAAATGGGAACAATGCCTGCCAACAACAGGATTGTTGTATGGAGTAAACAAGACAGTAATAGCTAGCACTCATGTAGTATTCACTCTTCACCGGGCAATGCTCTGCCTTAAACGCATTAACCCATCTAACCCCCACGACATAAGATTTGTGTGCACTGAGCATGAAGCTGTCACCTAGGAGGTACTCAGAAAAATGTTACTATTATTTTATACTGGCAGACTATGCTATAAAGAGAGAGAACAAAGTAACAGTAACTACAATAATAACAGCTTCTAGGCACTTCACACATATCATCTGATTTTATCTAATTTTTTTTTTTTAGCCAAGGCAGCCCTTGGTTGACCTCACAGATTGCAAGGACCTTGTCAGCTTACAATCCCTTATTTTTTTATTTTTATATCTACAGCACCTAGGTCTTCCTAGGTGGTCTCCCATCCAAGTACTAACCAGGCCCCACCCTGCTTAGCTTCCAAGATCAGACAGGATCGGACTTGTTCAGGGTGGCATGGCCATAGATTCTATTTAATCTTCAAAACAGCTTTACAAAATGGGTTCAATTATACCACATCTTACAGATAAGGAAGCTGAAGCATAAAGAAGTTGAGTAACTTGCCCAAAGTCACACAGGCAAGAAGTGGTAGAGCCAGGATTTGAACTCAGGCAGCTTACCTCCAGAGCCCCACTCTTACCCACTAAAACAAGGAATCCAGGAGGGCCAACTGGAGACAGTGGATCTACACACGGGTATGGAAAGAATGGCGGGGGAGGGAGGCTAGGGGAATGGGGTCTGCAGAGCCAAAGACCTGTGGGCAGGAGGGGAGGAGGCATATTCTAGGATCACTGGTCAGCAGGTGTGGCTAGATCACAGGTGTGATGATGTGCAAGAGCTCTGTGAACCAAAAAGCAACCAAACTGTTTATCATACTTTCCAAATTCAGAAAGCAATTCATAAAAGTACTTTCTTTCACCTTCTAATATGACCCCATGGAAACCTGATAACTTCTACCACCACCCACATCTACTATTACAGAAGGGGAAACTGAGGCTCAGAAAGTTCACTGACCTGTCCAGGGCCTCACACCTAGTACCCAGACTGAGAGTATCACTAGGGCAAGGCCCTCTGTCTCCCCCACATCCTGGGCAAAGCACAAAACAAGGCTCAAGAAAGGATTGATGAATGAACAAGCATGAAGGCCTGGCCATCTAACCCAGCAACACTACATCTAACCCAGCAACTACATCTAATCCAGCAACTCCACCCAGAACAGGCTTCTAGGAGGGAGAAGACCTGACCAACACCCAGCCCTCAGCCCACCTGCTGATAGCAGTCAGCATTTGGGAGTCCGTCACACTGTCATCATTGCTGAGGTTCCGGACGACACCATCCATGAGCTCCAATGGGAGGTGCTGGACCACGCTGGCCAGTGCGCTAGACGGTGGCTCCTCCTCTGGAACAGGGGGCGTGACTGGGCTGAGCTTAGCAAGGCAGGTGCCCCCACTGCCCCCATCACCCCATGCACTCATGCTGCCAAGGAACTAAGCTGGGCCAGCAAAGAGCACATCAGGGCCACCTCCTCAGCATCATGGCCTCCGATTTCACCTTAACTCATTCCCTCTTCAAACCTCCACTGGCACTGCTTTGGGCCCAACTCTGTGCTAGGCACCAAAAATAGAGCACTGACTCCAAACTTTGGGTGTACAGGCAAGGCCTTTAGAAGGGGTAACAATGGAGCTGGCAAGAGCACATAGGAGGTCTATGGAAACTTGGGGGGAGGGAAGACATTCCGTGTGCAACCACACAAAGGCCTAGAGGTGAGAAAGAACATTTAGTTAGAAACATTGGTTGTCCAACTATATAAAGACCCAGGTCCTTAGACACCCCGCCTTGGTTCTTCTGCTGCCACGTCCATTACCTTCCTTCCCCCTAAACAACCCTATAATCAGGGAAGGCACAGATCTTATTTCAGTCATTTATACCATAGTCCAAGTTCAGTTGTCAGTGGAGTACCAAGATTTTGCAGAGCTGACACCTACAGGTTCCACTGCGTTTTCAGACCTTCCTTCTTCCTACCAGAGCACCTTGCCCCTGCTGCCCGGTACTGTCCAGCTAAAATATAGCTCAAAAGTCACCACTTCTATGAAACCCACCTGACCCAAAGGGCATGATGAAACCCCCTCCCCCACTTCCTGTTGTCTCTCTCAGCCCTCAGGTCCTTCTTCTGACAGGTTAATCTAGGTGCATTCTTTTCCCACACCAGGCAGTCTGCTCTTTCCGGCGTAACCAGCACCCGCCACAGGATAGAACCCAAAGTAGGTGCACCCCATAGGCTTGCTAACTAAATGTTGGAACATCACTTCTCCCACCTGTGCATTCACCCCTGGCAAACACATACCACACCGCACGTGGGCATGCCAAGCAGAAGAATGTGCATGAACAGCCATCTGTCCAGGCGCGCGTCCAGAATCTTGGCGCCCACGAGCTCCCGCCCCAGCGCACACGCACCTGTGCAGGAGATGACTGCGAACAACTCCTTGAGGCAGGGCAGGATGGCGGCGGGCTGTGCGCGCCACAGCTGTGCCAGGAGCCCGCTCACCTGCTGGGCCTGCTCCAGAAATTCCACCGCGCCCTCCCCCCCCTCGGCCGGGCAGCGGAAGCGGCCGAGACAACGCACCAGCCGCTGGCAGAAAAGCAGGCGGTGCGGGCCATCTGGCACGCAGCGCGGGTGCCGCGCTAGCAGCCGGGCCACCTGTGCGCATGCCGCGGGCCCCGGGCGCTCGCACACTGTGCGCAGCACCTCGCGCCGCAGCAGTGCGAACACCTCCTCGGCCGCAGGACCCTCGGGCAACAGCTGCAGTCCTAATTGCACGCAGGCGAGCGCGCGGGGGCCCGGAGGACCCACGCCACCCTGCAGCAGGCGCAGCACGCGGCGCGCGCTGAAGAACTCCACGAAGACGTCTGGGTGGTGGCGGCCTGCCACGTGCAGCAACTGGCATCCCACGCGCCGCGGCAACTCATCGGCACCACCCACGTAGAGGCGCGCGCCCAGCGCTAGCAGCGCCAGGCACTGCTCTCGTTCCAGGGGCTGCCGGGCCGCCTCCAGCACCCGCCGCACCAGCCCTTGCTTCACGCTTGTCGGGTATGACGACGTCACCACGGCCTCCAGGATCTTGTCCATGGCGGTCACGCTGCAGAGAACAGGGAGCAAGTTCACACTCTGCCGGACAAGTCCAATACCCTATGTGGTCCCCTGCGTGCTGAGACTTGGGGCAAGCAACTCAACCCTTCTGGGCCTCAGTTTCCTCATCTGTGAAATGGGACAAGGATACTTACCTCACTGGGAAGTGTCATGATGAAGTAAAGCACAATGCCTGGCAGACAGTAAGCCCAAGTGTGTTATTGCTGATGAGGGTCTTTAATCTCACAAAGGTAATACCTGAGCCCTCGCCCTCCTCCAGCCCTTTTGCCCTTCTCTCCCCAAGCCCCGCTGGTGACCTCATTCACTCAGGACAGGTAGGAGCTGGATCTAGAAACTGTCCAGAATCTTGGCCAAGTCATGTCCTGTGGTGGAGAGGAGATGGGACACACACACAACACCTCAAGGGAGGGAGGGCTTAGGGGCCCAAGGACGGGCCAACAGGTCTTCCTGAAATCCCTGCACACTTTATTCCTCCCTCAAACAACTTCTTGCTCTTTCTCAAAAGATCTACACCTTTCCAAGATTCCACTTCTCTGTGTATGCTCTGCTTTTTGCCTGAAACATCCAATTTCCCAAGACTTCCACCACCACCACCACCACACACTCCTATTTTCCTTCAAAGCCCACCTCAAACACTCTGTCCTCAGTGAGAACAGCCCTGGACCTCCAGGCATGAATTCATCCCTTGCCCTGGATTCCTAGAGCCTCCTGTGACCTCTTCCTCCATTATAGCTGGAATCACATAGTACCAGAGTTGTATGGGAACAAATCTCCTCCATTGAAGCAGCGTCTTGTCTCTATGCTCCAGCCCTGCACACGTAGCCCTGCTTGCCTCCCCAGCCTCAGCCCACACTAGCCCCTCACTCTTGGCTCACTTTGTTTTCCCTGCCACTGGGCCCTTTGCATATGCTCTTCCTTCCCCTCCTTGCTTGGCTCACCCTGCAGACTGTAGCTCATACGTGCTCAAGGAAGCCTTGCCTGACCTTCCTATCTGGGTCAAATTCCTCTGTTAACAATTTCAGAGCATCCTATCCTCCTCTGTAGCACTAATCATGTTTACTTGACTGGAGTCAGCCTCCGCCACTGTACTACATATAGGCATGCCTTATTTTATTATGCTTCACTTTATTGTGCTTCACAGATGTATTTTTTTACAAACTGAAGGCAAGACCCTACACCAGCAAAGATTATGATTCATTTTATTGTGGTGATCTGGAACTGAACCTGCAATATCTCCCCGGTACGCCTATAGACTCCTGAGGGCAGGAACTACGTCAGGTTTCGTTCACCATAGTATCCCCAGCACACAGTAGGCATTTGCTGAATGAGCAAATGCAGAATACAGCATGAGTTACTGCTACGTGTTTCCTGAGCCATAACAGCCATCTCTGCTCTTCTCCTTTATGTGGGCTGTTTCCTGGAAGCCTTCATCCACTGACCCACTTGACTCCTGATTCTCATGCTAATTCACTTGAGTACAGCTTGCTCTCATAATATCCAACTTTCAGCTACGAGAAAGCACAGCCATTTCTTTGATTCTTTGCATAATCCCACTCTAAGCAAGGACCCAACATAAGGCTCAGCACACAGTAGGAGTTTAACTAAACTTAATGATTCAGTAAAAAGTATTCTTGACACCTGGAGTTGGTGTGAAGACAAGCCAGAAATTTCCTAGAGGAGGGGCCAGAAACTTTTATTCAGAACCACAGATATTGTGGGACCCTAACTATGTGCCAGGCCCTGTGGAGACACTCTCTTAATGGTCCCAGCTCTTGGCCAAGAGCAAACTTCCATTACTGCATGTGTTACAATGCAATGGACCCATCTGTTTAGGTCTTTGTCTCATCAGGCTGTGAGCTCCACAGGGCAAGGACTGAGGCTTATTTCTCAGTGACTGGCATCTCCCATGCCACTCACTAAAGCCCGAGTGCCTTCGAAGAGATTACTGTAGGTGTAGCCAGGGTACAGATCAGTGGATCCCCTATGCTGGCCTGGCTGCCTCAGAATCACCTGGGTACTTCATACAAGTACATATGCCCAGGGCCCATTCCAAGCCTCCTGTGTTAAACTCTGCTCTGTTTACCCTGAATAAGGTTCATCTGGAATGCATCCTGCTTATCCAGGTTACCTATGCTCTCTGAACCTATGTCCATCTTGCGAGATTGTTGTGAAAACACATATAAAGTCCTTACCACGCTGCTGGGATCAAGTAAGTGCTTAGAAAGTGTCAGTCCCCTTCACTTCGGAAGCAAAGTCCTTGCCCTTCAGAGCTTCCAGTGCAGTGGTGGAGGCAGAGGTATTGGCAAACGTGGAGAGGCAAGGCATAATCTCAAAGTATCTTCAAAAACTGGTCTCTCTACAGCCCTGGTCCTCTCTTTCTTAGGTAGGGGCTGTGACCAACCTCCCTTGCAGACCGTCCAACCAAACCCCTACCCTCACCCGCTGGGCTGGTGCATTTCATATGCATTCAATCCAGGATGCCAAGTAATCCGGGTACAGGCATACCCATTTTATTGCACTTTACCTTATTATGCGTCACAGATGTTGCATATTTAACAAATCGAAGGCAAGACCCTCGACCAGCAAAAAGATTACAATCTGCTTTATTGCCATGGTCTAGAACTGAACCTGCAATATCTCCAAGATATGTCTATACTCAGGCAGCCAAGGAGAAACCTTAATGGAGATATCGACATCACGTGTGGAGGAAGAAAACCTGGGGCCAGTAGAAATGGAGTTCTGGGGCTAGGGAAGGCTCTGGAAGTGGAAAGAAAATCAAACTAGGAATGAGGAATCCTGCATTGTGTGATTTTGAGCAAATCATATTGTGAGCCTCTTCTTTTTTGTAAAATGGGGATAAATGATATCAAGTTGAACCACATGAAAGTGAAGGATCAAATGTTGGTGATTTCATATTGCTCTACCTGATAACTACCACATAAGGTGGTTTATGCCTAGCAGCTGGGTGCTCAGTCAGTGGAGCCATTCGGTGAGGGCTCTGTGTAGTCGGTGGCCAGGCCACTCCAGACAAGCCCTGCGCATCTGCCTCCCTACCACACAGCCAGTCTGAGATGAGCTGTCACCATAGTCACCAACAAACCCAGTCACTAATATCTTCGATGCATTCATGCAGAAGGTTTTTAGAGGTGTGAACCTCACCTGACCCCATATGGGCCACAGAAGGGAGGCAGGACAAAGCCTTCCAGCCCTGCAACATGAATGGAGTCGAGGATCACCAAGGAAAAGGAACACAGCCTCAGCAGGGTGGGGTTAGAAGCCACTCTCAGCCTTCCTGGAAGAGGAAGAAGCAGACACCCAGCGTTCTTCAGAGGACGTTGGATTACCCCTTTAGGCGCTGGACCAGGAGATGCCCTGTGGACACTGGCTCCGACCCAAGAAACAGCGGCCCCACGCCAGGCCCCACTTCAGGCCCCACGCCAAACACAGCAGCAAATAGAAGCTATGTCCTCCCTCAGAAAAGCCTGCCTTAAAGGTATGAGACCCAGTTCTCTGCTTCAGAATCACCAGGTAACCTCAAGGGAGTCCCAGAGCTCTACAGCCTTCTCACCTGGAAAAGGGGCACCATTCCACCTATGATTGATGGAGCTAGGACAAGATTTAAAAATTATGAAGGCTGGAGCAATCAATCATGAGTCTATTCCTGGGCCACTTGGCACTGAGGGGTGAAGGTGAAACAGACACTGACAGGGAAGGAGACAGAAGACACACTCTTGATTTTGCTGATTCGACAAGGAATTTCGTCCATTAGCCTTCACTGCCAGGTTTTGCTTCCATGGTCTCCCTCTGAGCTCCAGACCCACCCAAGATCAGTTCCTCTTTACTTCTTGCCTGGACTAGTGCAACAGCCTCCTAATCTATCTCCTCATTCCTTCCCTCAATCTGTCCTCCTATAGAGGCATGTGTCCTGCAGAAGCAGAGTCTAGGGTTTGAATCTGGCCCAGCCACTATCCTCCACGGTGGCCACAGCCATGAGGTTAGTGTCCTTTCCTATCTCTGAGCCTCTGAACCCTAAAACAAGAGATGACCATCCCTAACCCTTTCCCGGCCAACGCTGCTACTCCTTCCCAAGCCCTTGGCTTATACTTCTCACTGCTGACATGACAGCCTGAGAGTCTCAGCGACACCCAGCCCTCTACAGAACACACAGTAAGCACAAAGGAGCCCCAATTCAGGCTTCCTCATCCCTCTCTGGTCTCTCCCAACAACCCTGCAAACATCATCAGATTAATCTCATTAGACGGTAAACTTCATCCTGCCATGCCCCTCCCTGCTCAGAACTCTGATGGCTCCTAGTGCCTTCAGGATAAGGTCCAAACTCCTGAGCCTGACATTCAAGCCCTTTCTGTGACACTTAGCTAATATGAGGCAGGGGTGGTGATGAACTTGACAAACACTGTTCCATGGTGAATCTACAGGAATTTGGGCAGTGGGCTTTTCCTGATGGCCACCTTTGGGTGACATCCTCTCTGCTGAAAATGGGCTTCTCCCTCTTTTCTCCAGGTAAATTCCAACTCATCTGCCACCTTTGGGTGACATCCTCTCTGCTGAAAATGGCCTTCTCCCTCTTTTCTCCACCAACTCATCCTTCAATGCCCAGGTCACATGCCCCCTCCTCTGGGAAGCCTTTCCTAATCCTGCAGTCCAAGTCTGAGTTCTGGCTTCCCAAGGCCCTCTTCACTTCTCATTCCTCAGCAGTGTCACTGGATTCTAGGTCTACCTCCCCCAGCAGGCTAGCCTTCCTTTGGTAAGAAGTAGGTCCAATCCCTCTGCCAGTGACCAGTCCCCAGCAGAGGACCAGGCATAGAGGTAAAGGAGTGCCAAGTGACCAACATAAGACATGTAACAGCAAGATGAGATAAAATCAGGGCTATGACCAGAAAAGCACCTTCTAGGGACTGGCCTAACCCTCTGTCCAGTCACTGCCCTCACATCTGTCCAGGTCTGGTCTCACATACCCATAACTCTGAGACTCTTAAACACCAGCCAAGAACATCCCTACAGAGGTCACTAGACAGGACTGAGCGAGGCTCTACCCATTCTAGAAATGACTCAAACAACCAAAGCTGAAGGGGAAAAAAAACCATTCCAGGTTAACCCTCAGGTCAAAGCTCACAGAACCTCATGGGACAGGGGAGGACTTCAAGAAGGTCTCACTCACCTTCTCTCTACCCCAGAGCACAGGAGCCCCTTCAAGCCCCAGCTTAGCACCTAAGAGATGTGCAGCCCATTTCCCCTCTCTCTGACTCTCATACCCTGTTTCCCTCCTTTGACTCCCTGTGGGCACCAGGCTGTCCCTCCCAACAACCAGAAGTCCCTCCATCCCTGGCTCCCCATGTCTCTGGGCAGCAGCATCTCTGTATTTTTAAACTGCACTTCTTCTACCCAAGGCAGCTCTGGGAAGGAGCCCCTTGCCCTACTACTGTGAGGCCTTCATGTGGGCCCCCAAACTATCTCCTGGAATGGAAGAAAAAAAAGGGTTTTATTGGT